ATATATTTTGCACAAAAGATAACATATTTACTCAGAGTAAACATTATATCTAAAATTTGTATGTCTAATGCAAAATCTATGATGTTATTCAAATTGATCATCAAATTGTAAGAATTCCAGCAATGTAAATTATATTCTGGCCAGATAATTTATATGAATTTTATGAGCTAAATAAAAAAATTATACTTCACCCGCGTAAAGGGGTACACCCACCGCGGAATGTGAGCATCCTGGGTTCTGGCAGGGCACCGCGTAAACGTGGAAACGCGGAATGTGGGACCGCGTAAAGTGAGGGTTGACTGTAAATGAAACAATTGTATTCGACACCGACATTAGTTCCAGTTAAATAACAGACGTTTAAGTGAGTCACTAGTGTTTACACTACACCAACCGGTAACATTTGATGCTATTACTTGAAGTGAATTGGCCTTATTTTAAAAAACCATGGATGTGTAAACAGCACTGGTCAATGGGATGGTTGGTAAAGGACTATTGGGTCAGTAAGCTCCCAATGGTTAAGTGTCATATTTGGGGTACCGGTCTTATACAGCGAATAGGGCTCAAAAGCTACTTTTTAAATGGACATTTTTAGGGTCGTCTTAAACACCCCGTCTCCTTGTAGGCCGAGATATACGGTAGTTTAAAATTTATTTTACATATTGACAATATATAATGCAGTGCAGTGTTGATTTAAAGAAAATGTCTTGAATTACACCAAGAGAACTAAAATTTTATGGGTGAAATGGCACCATGGGGTGACTTCTCTTCCACCCCAATGCCTTCTCTTCTCCCTTCTCCTCCACCCCCATTCTAATTCCCATCATCATCATCATCATCATCATCATCCAGGAGCCTTCTACATACACACCTCAAAGTAAGTGCACTTTACTACCTTTTTTGTTGATTTTAGGCAATTTTCGGTGAGCTGGAACCAATTACCCAAAAACCCATTGAAACAATGGTTTCGGTTAACAAGTTTTTCGGTTAATGAGCAACCTTCTGGAACGAATTGTGCTCGTTAACCGAGGGACCACTGTAATACATTCCAACACCATATCTGTGCCAAGTTAAATGAAATTCCGAGTTATCAAGGGTTTACTGTAAATTGAAGTTAAATAAAAAATGTGGTAACTTTGCAGTGGGTGGCTGGCCAGCCCAACGGACTGTGATTGGAGACATTTACTTTGCTTATACAGTACATGTATCCTCGATAATCACGGACCCCGATAATCACTGATATGGCTTATCAAGGTACCCTCAATTGCGACCATGTGTACACTTATCACCAATTGATCTGGGTTATCGTGGAATTATCATGGGACAGCGGCAGGTCTGAGAGAGACAACGGTAGCAGTGACAGCCAAGAAATGGCAGCACAGCTCATGGCGCCAGCTTCCAGCGATAGCATTTGTTTCCCATGTTATGTTGGTTGGTGTTTAAGGACACTTTCCTGCTCCATGCTTGCTTTTGGTGCAATTTTTGTAACTTTTACTTACAGCATGCCATTCAAATTCGCGGGGGTTAGGTTCTCAAAATGACTACGAATCGCCAAATCCGCAAATAACATTTGCTGATCAAGGGGAAGGGGGTACATTTTTATTTGTATACAAAGAAATGTATATTCCCTTTATGTGTTTGCCCTTGGGACAATGATTGCTTTTACCTGTATTGTATATATGTGTGTGTGTGTGTAGACACACACACAAAACACATACAAATAAATAATAATGGGAAAATCCTCTTACAAATAATCAGAAACAATTGTAGTATTAAAATGTTGAGTTTACCCTTAAATCTACTCCGTGTTTTATTAATACTAAGCAGCGAAAATGTCGGCAACTTTAAAACTACCCGCAGACATTCTTGGGTACATCCAGGGTGTCATCCGCGAATAATTGAGGACCGCGAAATAAAAATCTACGAATTATCCAGGCGTACTGTACCCTCCATCATGGCACCTGTGAACTAGAAGTGTTAAGGTTCCTGATCCAGCCAACCGACGAAGACATGTGTATTCTCTGGTTGAATGTTCCGATGTTTCTGACAAGGGTAAGCATATGCTTCGTAATACACCCATTGCATGTTACCACTTCCACTCCACCTCTCTAATCACCCCCCTTTCTGTTTCTCACTCCATAATTAAAAATTTATGTAATGTAATGTGGAAGGGACACAACGTTGTTCATTTATACTTACACTCAATTTTATGGGTAGACATCAGCTGTTCAGTTGTGACTGACAGTGCTGCAGGCAGTGTTACCAAATAAACCGATAGATGAATGATCTCTTCACCACTTACCACAATCTCCCCCTCCACCACCAGCTCCATTGATCATCAACACTACCTCTATTATCACCACCTAAATCATACTTTCAGTGATGGATTTACTTTAGCCAAGCAGATTAGAATGGCATCCAATGCCTCCCACCCACTTCCCACCCTCCCACCCACTGTATTTCACTGACACTCTGCCTCTCACTCATTCTACTACGACTGTCATTCATGATACAGTACTGTACATTGTTTACTGTATTTATTATTCATTAATTAGTAAAGATAAGTTACTAGTATTATATCTTTTAGTGTACCTGCACATCTTTGGGGGTATATTTTGGTCAGTTAGGGGAAGCATCTTGGGGTTGTGGGACAAAAAAATTTTCCCATATGTTATGTGTTTTGCTTATCACGGTAGTTTTCTGGAACCTAACCCCTGTGATTATCGAGGATACATGCACATAAACATTTATGGCATTTGATGCAGCTACTGAATTTGGGTATTTTAAAACATACATGCATGAAAATATATATGCTTGTATTTATTATAAATACCAAAATGTCAAGTGTATCAAGTGCCATAAATATTTGTAAGCAAGGTAACTGGGCACACGCAACCCAGCAACACAACTCACGAAGTTAGCCAGCTAAGATGTTAACATCACCACTCCAAACCCCTGAAAGAGAGCTATTTGCATATGCCTGAAAGATATTATACCCCGTAGTTAGCCACTAAACAAGCAAGGATGATACACAACCCTTGCATATACCTGTAGTTGTGTTAGAAGATTGTTATCTCAATATTTTCTCCTGGGGGGACCCCAACCATGCTTATGGCTTAACTGTGCAAGTGAACCGCCCCTCAAACACAGTAAAATGATCATCTACTGTATCTTTACAGGAATCAAAATTTACAATTGATATAAAAACTGTAAGTACAGTACTGTACTTAATTGTAATACTGTAGACTAAACTTATTACAATTAGTATAAAGTAAACCATTGCTATTCGCGGGTTTGCGATTCACTATAAGCAGATGGTGGCTAGCTTACAAGCCCACGTGCCCGCAGCATCTCCACTCCCTTTGTTTGTGCTCAACCATTGCCTGTGATGCAGCATCTCTTGTGTTGTACTCAAAACGTTAGTGTTTCTGTGTGAAATGGCCCCAAAAAGACTGCCTTGTGTCAAAGCTAGTGATGCTAATGGAGTGAAACGTTTACAGACCTCAAAGCCAAGAGGAAACCACTACCAATCATGATGCTTTTAAAAAAAGAACCAGCCGCTCACCCAGCTGATTCGTCTCCCTCACCTACGCGGTCAGCTGCTGCTGCCGCTCCACCACTCTGCCATTCCTTGGAACCTAACCCATGCAAATGCCAAGGGTTTACAGTTTGAAATTTTTAGAAAACAACATAAGTAAATAAAAAAAATTGTGTTTGAATTCCATTACAGTTGGGTCTTCATTTATGAGGTCAATTGAACCTGCGGAGTACCGCGTAAAACGAGAAACGTGTAAATGAAATAACAGAACATATGGGATTAATTGAAAGAGAGACTGGGCCGACCGCCAAAGTCCACTTTTTCCGACACAATACCAACACAATACCTACGTTGTAGTAAAAATAAGATCTTAATTTTATGATGGTATGCACACACAATTAATATTTAAGAGAAATACAGTCACCGGTTAATGTCCAATCAAATAATGGACTCAACTCTCCCCCCGCCCCCCCCCCCGCCCTTCCCACGCTCGCTGGCTCCTCCCTCTCTGAGAAATGTTTGGGAAAAAACACTAGGCCTACATGTTTAGTAATAAATAATACCTCAGACTAAAGTTAGGATAATATAATTGACATTGTTGGATTCCTTGCAAGACCAGGAATATTTTAAATATAAACGTCATATATTTTGCACAAAAGATAAAATTTTGGCTCTTTCTAATGAAAATTCTTACATTAGATCTAAAATTTGTACGTCTAATGCAAATTCCATGATGTTTATATTTAAAATAATCACAATCTTATAAGAATTCCAGCAATGTACCCTAAATTATATTCTGGCCGGGTAATTTGAATGAATTTTATGAGCTAAAACAAATATCTTCAGTAAATAAACTAATTATACTTTACCCGCGTAAATGACCAAATTTACCGTGCAAATCAAGCATTTCAATTCTGGCAAGGCACCGTGTAAATGACAAAACGAGTAAACCAAAACTGCGTAAATCCAGACTCGACTGTAGTCTATTCACCTACCTATCCAGTATTATATAATCACAAGTCTAGTATAAAAAAAAGGTTGAAATAACAAAATAAAGTGGTACAAAATAAATTCCGAGTGATATGTCTCCCACGTCATGCAGAGATCATGGCAATGTTGGATTTAAAATGCCAGGGCTGGTTCCCATGGAAATGGAGATGCTACACAACAATTCTTACGATTCAGCCAACATGAGACTTTAGTTGCCATTTTCTAACCATTTCGTATTACTTTATACATCATTATCTAGCTTTTCCAGCAAAAACAGAAATGAACTTTTTGGTAACAAGAGAAAGGTTTGTAGGTTTATTATATGGAAACCATGTAAGGGTTAAATATGCTTGGGCACAGTGGGTGGATGTGCTTTTATCTTAAAGACATCAATAATCAGCCAACTCTGACAGTTTTAAATAACATATTTTCTATTTAATTTTTATGTAGAGTATATTTTAATCCTAAAGCTTACCTTTAGCCAAGTCATCCATTAGTATATCAGGAGATTGTCCTTGAATATTGATGAGTGCTGCTTGAAAAGCTGCCGGTGTCTTCTCTGACTGAAATAAAGTATGACATTATACATTGATTAACTTGACAACATTATTTTTTGCTGTAAATTATGCTCACTCATAAATTTCTACAGAGAAATTATATTGAATATTAGCTGCTTACAGGCTTATAGGTAATACTGTCACTTTACCATATTCTTTGTCAAGTAACACATACAGTCAGTTCTGGTACAACGCGATAGTTGTGTTCTTGTAAAACCTCACGTTGTAGAAATTCGCGCAATAGAAATAACAGGGCTTAATCAAAAAAATTTAGTAGTTAGCCTTACACAAAGGATAGCACAGTCTAAATAAATGTTACATTCATATCTAAAAATGAAATCATACAGTAAATGTAATACTTTACCTTGAAAAAATATGAATATAACTTAATGTGGGAGAAGGGTGATTTTGAGGTTGATAACATCATGCTTCTCTTCAAGTGTTATAGCCTTTCTTTTACGATCACCAGAACGATTCTTGGAGATATTCTTCTTTTTCATATTTACAGTTAATACCACAAAATTGGAGAAATAGTAAGCATAAATCACTGAGGGCGCTTCAAAACAACCCACGTGTTTCAACTGATCGTGTGATGGAAACAGAGTGCGCGAGTGTAAAACGCTATTAGTCCGCACTGCGAAACATTATTATTATTTTTTTCATACAGTATTTATGGGAACAGCTAAATTTGCAAAAAAAGGATGAAATTTATAGAGTCCCTATCAAATAACACTTCACAAACAAAACACATGAATCAATTGAACATGTGATGTTGAACAGGAACTGTAAACACTGCATAACCCCGCGCCAAGTGACAGTACACTTAAAACAATCGAGTGGAATCGCGTTACAGCCAACACGCATTCGTGTTTTACAAATATCGCTCTTCTATTCATCAATCGCGTTATAGCCAATTCGCGTTGACATAACACGCATTGTAGCAGAAATGACTGTACTCTACATACACAAACACACCACTCTTTAAGGATTGGGTATAAATCTACAAGAGGTCAGGCATCTGCTCTCCCCCCCCCCCCAAAAAAAAAGATGCACAAGAGAATGTTGGACATGGGAGAAGATAGATATTTATTCATGTTTTCTTAACATTTTCATTGAATATTAAAGGTATATCAATTGTAAGCAAGTAGAAGACAAATTTCCTTACATAAATATCACCTTGTGGATGGATGCCTTTACAGTGGTCCCTCGGTTAACGAACAGTTCGATTAACGAAATTTTGGTTCAAGAATTACCTCCCATAAGGATCTTCAATTCGGTTAACGAACAAAACTTCGATTAACGAAATCCTTACGACAAACACATTTTGTTGTGAGCATCAGCTGATCAGCTGATGGGCTAGTCTGCCAATTCAGTAATCTGTTCTATATTTACATTCGTTTCCAGTGGAGTAAATATCAAGAAAGTTGTGCTCTTTAATATTTTTGCTTTTTTTATATTACAATTATTAGTCATTTTAAAATTTAGTTAACATATCAATAATATATGCAGTACAGGGAACTAGTATTTTGTGCCCCCAGCAGCCGCTTGACTCACCCACCAGGCGTCAGTTTGGCTTTGTTTACAGTGGAGTGAACATCGATTTTGTTGGTGTCTTGAATATTTTTGCATTTTTACATTAAAATTATTGGTCATTCTGAAATTTAGTTAACATATTGATAATATATAGCGCAGTGCAGTGTTGATTTAAATAAGATAATCTTGAATTACACCTAGTGAACTTAAAATTATATTGGTGAAATTACTGCACCAAGCATGGGTCCACCTGAAAGGTGGTTTCTCCTCCATCCCCACTTCCTGCTCTTCTCCCTTCTCCTCCACCCCCAATTCTAATTCCCATCATCATCGTCAACTAGGAGCCTTCTACATACACACATCAAAGTAAGTGTACTTTAGTGCATTTTTTGTTTTTACTTTGTATGTACTTTTCTGTAAGCTGGAACCAATTACCCAATATGAATTCAGGCATTGGTTGAGGTGGTTGGTACTGGTCTGCTAAGTCGGTTAAGATAAGGTCAAGGGTATTTTGATCATGTGTGGGGAAGTTCACAACTTGTGATAGTGACAGCTGGTCCTGGATATCAATGGTGTCAATTTCATTATAATCCCCGCACATGGGTACCTAACTCCTAGGTGATCTGAGGTGATAATGAGATGAATGATAAGAGTGTCTCTGGTGGATGAGTGAGGAGGATGGTATGACACATAGATTATGATTATGATAGAAGCAGTGTGGCGCGGGAGGGCCCGTGGCACAACACATACCCATAATGCCTCCACACCTGCAGGGACTTGAACATCCAGGCATGACGGGCATAGGTCATCTTGGCAGAAAATGGCAATGCCTCCTCCGCGTCCATGTGAACGAAGGTGATGAAAGAGTTGATATCCCTCAATATGACACGTTTCAGGCACAATTTGCCAAGCCTCACTGTGGCAATGACGCTAGCGGCAGCTAACCTGACTATGGTTGCCAGCTCATCAAATTTGTTCGCGAGGGAAGTGACGTTGGAGAGCAGTAAAGACAGGAGATCATACCATATTCGCAGAACTTTAGTGTAATGGTACGGTCTGTGAGGGGTGGGTTTCTCTGGTTTCTTAGTGGAGGTTACGGCCCTCATGGGCTTTTGTTTATGACGCCACTGTCTACGGCTGCGCGCATGGAAAATGTTCAGTGACTTGAGTCGCGCGATAACACTGCCATCAGGATAACCGTTCCCACGCTTAAGAAGGTACAGAGAGCGCCGGGAGTAAGTGATTGGTGGCCATCTGTTGATATCTGTTGTTATGGACAGACAGAAGTGTTTGTCCCCGGTGGCCATAAACTTACTGGTGGCACTTTGAGGTCCACTGACATTGGTAGACATGTTAATATTTGTCAGTCGTAAACACCGTGAGTCCTTGTCTCTGGCGCTTAGGGTCGCCGACACAGTATCCACGATATATGTAAACACCTCGGTGGTCTTTGTCACTGGCACTTTGAAGGTGACCGACAAAGTGCCCACTGTCTGGTATTACACTGTTGTGTTTTTGTGCTTTTTCCTTGGGATGCACTATCGGAACACTGTTTGGTAATCAATCATTGCACTGATCACTTGAATGTTTTGCAGAATAAATCCCCGTGTAGTAAGGCCGGGGATATAGAGTGGGGGGGCAGGGCCAAACAGACTCGGCCTGGCTGCCAAAACCCGGAGCATCTTCAGGGCACGTCTTATCTCACTGATGGTTGACAAGTGTGTGTGTGTGATGTTGGTGTGTGTGTGTGATGTGGGTGTGGGTGTGTGTGTGAGAGAGTGATGTTGGGGTGTGTGTGAGAGTGATGTTGGGGGGTGTGTGTGTGTGTATTGACATACGAGATAAGATTAGCGTATTGACGCTGAGTAATAACATCCCGGCCACGCTACCAAGTTTCCTATCTTTACATTCCTACTCTCTATACTTCTCCTACTTATATGTAATCTTCTTCTTGTGAGATTTCTCTCATTACATAATAATAATAATAATAATAACAATAATAATAATAATAATAATAATAATAATAATAATAATAATAAACGGTTTATTAATAGAGTTGCAGCCGGTGGCTGAAAATATACAGACTTACATTTGATTTAGACATAATGATATAATATGCATTGAATACATTTACAGGGCTGTACAGTACATTAATCAGGAGTTGTTTATTATTTTAACAATAGATGTGTATGTGTGTGTGTGTGTGATGTTGGGGTGTGTGTGTGTGTGTGTGTGTGTGTGATGTTGGGGTATGTGTGTGTGTGATGTTGGGGTGTGTGTGTGTGTTGTGTGTGTGATGGTGGGGTGTGTGTGTGATGTTTGTGTGTGTGTGTGTGATGTTGGGGTGTGTGTGATGTTGGGGTGTGTGTGATGTTGGAGTGTGTGTGAGTGTGTGTGTGATGTTGGGGTGTGTGTGATGTTGGAGTGTGTGTGTGTGTGTGATGTTGGAGTGTGTAATAATAATAATAATAATAATAATTAACGTTTATTGAAAGAGCTATGTCAGCCAGAAGGCTGAAATATACAGTTACATATTTGGGGAATGGGTATAATTACAAATAATATACAAGTAACATGGACACAAATAAGACATATAATAACTAGATGGGGAAAAGCTCAAACTACAGTTCATTTCAACATAGTGACAGTAAGGAGCTGTGTTTACTGGGAGGAGCACTGATTTATTACGTTATTGATAATTACAATGGTGGACTGGGCTGTTCTTATAGCGATCAGTTCGTGCACGATGGGCTGGATGTTGTGGTGTCGAAATACAATTTCGACAAGGATTCCAGGTGGTAGTAGGAGCCGTGTCGGGATGGTGTAGAAGCTTCAACAAATTTGCAGATGAGTCGTGGTGATGGTCAGTGAGAGTCGAAGGGTCAGTGTTGAGCGCTTGGATATGTGGAGAGGAAGGGGAGAGAATAATCTTGCATGCCCTCTTTGCACTTTTTCTAGGTGTTTACGTTGTGTGGCATTTAGGAGGAAGACCAGGTGGGGGAGGCATAGGTGAGCTTGGGAAGTATGAATGTTAAACACTGAGGAGCTTTGTGCAGGAACCCGAGACTTGAGTCGGCGGAGAGGTGGAGACGGAAACTGAGGATTTGACAACTTACTGACGTGGTGGTTTCCAATTAGTTTGTTGTCTATGGTGACGCTGAGGAGCTGCGGAATCCACAACCTGGAGTGTGTTCGACCTAGAGTAATGGAAGGAGGTGGGACAATGTCGGAGGAGAGGTTGATGTGCATAACCATGGTCTTGGTATGGTTGATGGTGACATGGTTGTTGGTGCCCAGTTTTGGATCTTCAATAAATCCTGAAGGGCGTATAGTTGGAGCGGAATTGTTGACGCTGGATTCCCAATGGTGGAGTCGTCGACATATTTCAGCAGCAGGGTTTCTCTTAGGGCATCATTGATGAGCATAAGGAAGCAGAGTGGTCCCATCTTGGTGCCTTGGGGACGCCTACAGGTGA